CTGCCTCCTGCTCTGCTAGTCTGTCCCTGGGAGCTGAAGGACTGTCCCTGTATGCCCAGGGCAACACCTGCAGGTGACAGCCCTCGACTCCACTTGTCCCTGTGTGAAACCTTCCTCCTCTGGTGGACCTCAGACAAGCCTTGTAATGTCAGTGAGCCTCAATCTCCTCATCTGTCAGAGGAAAGCAATGAGATGGTGGTGAGACTTAAATGAGATTTTTTTTTTTTTTCCTCCTGAGACAGAGTCTTGCTCTGTCTGGAGTGCAGTGGCACAATCTTGGCTCACTGCAACCTCCGCCTCCAGGGTTCAAGCAATTCTCCTGCCTCAGCCTCCCAAGTAGCTGAGATTACAGGCCCGCACCACCACGCCAGGCTAATTTTTGTATTTTTAGTAGAGATGGGGTTTCGCCATGTTGGCCAGGCTGGTCTGGAGCTCCTGACCATAAATGATCCACCTGCCTTGGCCTCCCAAAGTGCTGGGATTACAGGCATGAGCCACTGTGCCCAGCCTAAGTGAGATGTGTTGGAAACTCTTTGTAAACTGCAAAATACTATAAAATGCCAAACCTCAATCAGGATGCCTCTTTTGATCAAGTCTTATGGTGAAATTTACAATCCATGCATTGAGTTGACAGACTTCTCCAACCAGAAGAGGAGGTTGTGGCTCATATTCTCATACCACTCTCAATGTCAGGGAGCGCTCTGTGAAGAATTCATTCTTCCTCCAAAAAGGGGCTTGCAAGCTTGCTTCTGCCGCTGTGTGAGTCACAGGCACAGACTTCTCCCAGCAAGGGATTCTCTGGGATTAAAAAGTACTTCATATGTATATATATGCACGCACACACATATACACACACATATGTGTGTGTATATATGTATGTATATTTTGATTTTTTTTTTTTTTTTTTTCTGGTAGAGACAGATTTTCCCTATGATGCCAGACTGGCCTCAAACTCCTGGGCTCAGAAGATCCTCCCACCTTGGCCTTTTAAAGCACTGAAATTACAGGTATGAGCCACTGTGCCTGGCCTACCCGTATTCTGATATGCTCTGAGGTGAGGCATCTCCTGCTTTAAGCTATCTTTGGGCTGTTCCTTGTTTCTGTGAATGTCTTTAAGCCCTTCCTCACCGACACACAGGACTCTTAGCATCCTGTATCCCTGCTGTTCGTTTCTATGTCCCCCTCTTTGCCTAGATGACTTGAGGAAGTTTACAACAAAAGGCGTATTTACAAACAATTAGGTGAATAACATAGAGATCAACAACCAAGCACACAGAAGGGAGAAGAAAATGAGTATGTTCAGAGAAGGGCTGGGATTACTGAGCTCAAAGTATTCTCCCAGGCTCTGAGCTTTCTACCAGTTCTGGCTGGCGGGCTTCTTGGTCACACTGTCTTCACAAGGGAAGGACAAGTTGTTCTCAGGGAAGGCAAGGTTTCTCCCGGTTCTATGTGCTCATTTTTTTTTTTCATGTGGACCCTCAGGATCCATTTCCCAGAAAACTGTTTTAAAGCAGATGCAGAACTGGCTTCCACGACCTTCCAATGGTCCACATTGCTATAGACAGACCTTAGATGATTCAGAGATCATCAGACTGTGAACAGTCTTTGACACTGGCTCCTGCTCTGCTGGGAAAGAAAAGACAAGTAGGTTAGAGCCCACATTTTTTCCCCATCACGTTGTCTCCCTCGCCTTCACCTTCCTGAGAATTCTCAGAGGTCCTGGGAGAGGGTGCGATGTGAGCCTGCTGGCAGGACACACACAGCTGGAGCGGCCACGGCCCTGTGAGCTCATTCACGGGTACATGCAAGTGGATGGCACACATGTTGCACGCATGCTAGCCTGCAGGCATTCTTATGACCCCTCCAGATTCTAGAGGGGGAGACTGAGGCTGGGAGAGGCGATGTCAGGTGCTTGTGGTTGCTGAGCCGGGGGTGACAGAATCACGTTGGCCCAACTGCTGCTGCTCTTCTGTGACTTCCCTGTTCAGAATCCATCCATCAATCACTCCATCTCCCTCTCCCCCTCCTCTTTCCTCAACAGTGAAATTTCTCGCTGTTCCTCATGGATCCCTCCACACATTCACTGAAACCTCAGCATAAGCACTCAGGACCCAGAGCTCCCTCCAGTCTACCTTTGGCTCAGCTTTGACCACTTTAGGAAAATCAGATTTCTTCCACATGCAACCTGTGTTCCAAGCAGCCTCAATACATCCTTTTTTCCCTAGAAGTCTAAAGAGAGTAGGCATGATGTTTCGGAAGAGTTCCAACCAGCTAAAGTTAGAGATTTATTTTAAAAAATCAGTTAGAAAAATTCTCCATAGTCATTGGTTTGTACATTTGTTCATTCGTTTCATCAGTGCCAAGAGCACTATGTGCTAGGGATGGAGATAGAGAAGTTATGGGACTATACAGTCTTTTGGGTAAGGGATCATAGGATTATGATATGAGTGTTTGGGGCTGTGGTAAACATGCTCATGATTCCGTAGGAGTCCCTGAGGAAGGGCAGACCTTCTCTAGTCTGAGGCTGGCTGCGGTGGAGTCAGGGAGGGCTTCCTGGAGTAGGATGAGCAGTCCCTAAACAGATGAGCCGAAGCAAAACTCTTACATAGATGTTTTAGGACCTAGTGTTAGGAGATGAATGAGCAAATGCTGATCTGTGCTGAGAACCAAATGATCCTGCAGAGCTGAACCAGAGCCAGGTCAGTAGACCCCCATATCAGGATCCTGGACCTTAGCCCTGGGTTCTCCTTGGTGTGCAATGCCAGGCTTCCTCCATTCCTGCCATATGACTTCAAAGGAGCATACTGGGAAGGAATTAGGATGAGCATTTGCCAGCACTCGGCCCCCATGGAGAGGGACTGGCTTCCTTTATCTCCACACAGGACAGCGTGCCGCCCACTCCACCCACCTCCCCATCCTTTCCACCCAGCACTGTCCCAAAGTTAGGGCTTCCTTGGGGGGACCAATACTCTTACAATAATGGTTCTTAACTGGGGGCAGTTTGACCCCCAGGGGATATTTGGCAGTGTCTGGAGGCATTTTTGGTTGTCAGATGTTGGGGGAGGGAGTGCTACTGGCATCTCATGGGTAAGGCCAGGATGCTGCTTAGCATAATGTCACACACAGGACAGCGCCCATGCCACCACACACACAACACAACAAAGAATCGTCCAGTCCAAAACAATAGTGCCGAGAGGCTGAGAAACTCTGTCTTAGAATATAATGTCTCCTTAGCAGAGTGCTCTCCCGGAGATGGTAGGGGATGACTGCCCAGTTCTTCTGGTGGCTTGCTTGCCTCTTTCCACATCAAAGTTAGTGGTAACCCCCACCCCCGTCTCATCTCCTGCTGCTGCTTCTGCAGAGCGGAGCTGCTGATCCATTTAGGTGCAGGAAGCACGGCGCCCAGGACCCATGAAAATGCCCTCATTTCTTTTAAAACTGGAAGGGAAATACACACTTTAAGGTCAAAGAAAAAGTTTTAATATATTAATATAGGCCAGGTGCAGTGGCTCACGCCTGTAATCCCAGCACTTTGGGAGGCCAAGGTGGGCAGATCACCTGAGGTCAGGAGTTTGAGACCAGCCTGGCCAACATGGTGAAACCCCGTCTCTGCTAAAAATACTATATATATATATATATATATATATTCATCTTTATACCATGTAGTCCCCAGATCTAATTTATTTTATTGTATTTTTGAGACAGGATCAATGTAGTCCCCAAATATAATGTATTTTATTGTATTTTTGAGACAGGGTCAATGCAGTCCCCAAATAGAATTTATTTTATTGTATTTTTGAGACAGGGTCTTGGTCTGTTGCCCAGGCTGAAGTAGAGTACAGTGGCACAGTCATGGCATACTGCAACCTCAACTCCTGGGTTCAAGTGATCCTCCTACCTCTGAGGATACTAGTAGCTGAGACTGCTGGTGTGCACCACCACACCTGGCTAATTTTCATATATTTTACAGAGATGGGGTCTTGCCATTTTGCCCAGGCTGGTCTTGAACTCCTGAGCTCAAGTGATCTGCCCTTCTCAGCCTCCCAAAGTGCTGGGATTACAGGAGTGAGCCTTCATGCCCAGCTTCCAAATACAATTTTAAATATGTTTTCTATGGAGGAAGGGGCCCACAGAGTCCAAGTGCTCAGTGCCTGTGAGCATCATAACGTGGCCCTGCTCCGGAAGTGGTTCTCTGAGGCTGGGCTGATGTAAAGGGTATGTGGGCAGGGAGCTGGGCATTGGAGTGGATGACCTCGACATTCTCTTTGGAACTGTCTCCATGAGAAGCCCACACTATCCTCAGGCTGTGTCATTGTAGAGACCTGCCCTCTGTGATCTGACTGGGGACTAGCACCCTGCGGAAACACATCACATAGAGTGACCTGATCTTCATATTGGCAGCCTTACCACCTTCTGGCCACACCAGAGACAATGCTGTCATGTTCTTCTCACTCATGACCAGATGCTCAAATGGTGGCCCTAAGGGCATGTGCAAGGCCCTTTGAACATGTGGAAATATGGAAGCTCAGAGTAATTAGACCCGATAATATTGATGGGGTGATTACACTGTTCCAGGCGCTAGGCGATGTGCTCATGCTCCAATTTGATTTTCTCATCCATCTATGAGGTAGGTGCTATTGACGTTTCTTTTATATAGATCAGAAAACTGAGACAGAAATATAAGGAAGGGGCCCGATTAGTAATTTATCCCACCAATAAGTCGGAGGGAAGGTCTATAACTCAAAGTTAATTTTGGTTAAGCCGAGAGGAATGCAAGTTGGCTATCATTCCGTATGCGTGGCACTCATTTACAGTGTTACATTCATTCATTTCGTCTACACGGAGCACAGGGACTTCACTAGAAGCTGGGATGAGTGAGAAGAGAGAAACAATCCATGCATGCTGGAAACTGACATTTCAGCAGAAGGGATGGGTAAGGAAACCACCCATTACGATAAACATGTTGTGAGGAGGGCTTTGGCAGATGGAAACACTGGTCCATGTGGGAAAACTACCCGTTTTCTGATCTTGGAGTTGGCCCCATCTCCTCTCCCACAAAGCTGCTTCTCTGCCAAGGCATCCGGTAAGGCGCCCACTCCCCTCGTGTGGCCCCAGACTTCACACAGAGGCCCTGCTGCAGATCATAGCATAGGAAGCCACTGCTCTTTTGAGTCTGCAGCTAAAATCCTGAGCTGGCCCACAGTTGTCCCCATCCAACTGCCTCTTGCGTTTTGAAGGCCGTCTGTCCGGTTGAAATCAGGAAGTCCACTTAATCACTCTTGAAATGCCCAGAGATGTCCTTTTCTTGTTCCTAGCAGGGGGGTGATGTTGTGCTCAGCTCCCAACCTGTGGCCAAGGCAGGAGGACAGATAGGGAGCCCGGGAGTCCCGCAGCAGCCGCCTGGTCCATGGCATCTTGGACATCCTGCCATGTTATCTCTGTATCTTCTTGGGGATCCAGGAAATTCCTCCTGAAGAGGCTCTGCCTCAAAAACCACATCAACACATAGTCAGGTCAAATGAAGTTGTTGACCTCTCGCAGGAACTCAAAGCTCCTCCACCCTCTCTCTCCATGGGTGTTGGGAGGGGTGTGGAGGATTAGAGGAGGATTTTCCCTCCTACTGCACTGACTGGCCATATCCAAGCCTGGCTGGGCCATTGTTCTCCTAGGTGGGTTCACTGGGCTGGTTAAAGCCCAGTTCTCTTGGAGGAGGTGAGAGGTACCAGGCCAGTTCTCCTTCTTTAGAGCAAGCCCTGTGGATGATAACTTCTCTTCCAATTTCAGCTTCCATGAAAATGCCTGGTGGCCAGGCAAGGTGGCTCATGCCTTAATCCTAGCACTTTGGGAGGCCAAGGCAGGAAGATCGCTTGAGATCAGGAGTTTGAGACCAACCTGGCCAACATGGTGAAAATACAAAAATTAGTTGGGTGCGGTGGCTTGTGCCTGTAATCCCAGCTACTCAGGAGGCTGAAGCAGGAGAATTGCTTGAACCTGGGAGGCAGAGGTTGCAGTGAGCCAAAATTGTGCTACTGCACTGCAGCCTGGGCAACAGAGTAAGACTGTCTCAATAAATAATAAATAAATAAATAAATAAAAGGCCAGGCGTGGTGGCTCATACCTGTAATCCCAGCACTTTGTGGGGTTGAGGTGGGTAGATCACTTGAGGTCAGGAGTTTGAGACCAGCCCGGCCAACATGGTGAAACTCCCTCTCTACTAAAAATACAAAAATTAGCCAGGTATGGTGGTGGGTGCCTGTAATCCCAGCTACTCAGGAGGTTAAGGCAGGGGAATTGCTTGAACCTAGGAGGTGGAGGTTGCAGTGAGCCAAGATCTTGCCATTGCACTACAGCCTGGGTGACAGAATAAGACTCTGTCTCCAAAAAAAAAAAGAAAAGAAAAGAAAAATTGCCTGTATGATCAAGAGATTTATTTGCTAATGAGGGGTAGTTGGCCCTGTCTGTAAGGGTGGTTATAGCTAGTGCTTCTGGGCAGGCTATGAGATGGGCAATCTAACACTGGTGGATTCTTGGCCTGGAGAATATTATGGTCTGCATTGAATTCGTGGGTAGCAGGTCCAAGAACATCTATGAGAGACTGTGAAGGACTGTAGGAACAATGGCAAGGATTGTCAAAGTGCCCCTACAACACGTAGGCACCTATTCTCTGAAGCTCCCCCACCCCCTTATCTCATCTTCCCCAAGGGGGCAGCCAATTTTTAGATGACCACAATTTGTCTGCTGAATCTGCTGGGTTAACCAGAGAAAGAATGCAAATGGGGGACTTGGTCTTTTAGTGAGTTCAAGGTCTCCCCTTCCTCCTACACACGTTGCATCCTATCCCTTTATTCTACTGCCAAAGAGCAGCGCTGATCACATTGGGCAGATTATTTCAGGGGATTAACCATGACTGGTTAAATGGCCTCTGAGACAGTTGAAGTGGTAACAGGAGCTGGAACTGCTTCCTTAAAGAAGGCCTGGCCGTTTCTCTTTTGCTTTTCTTTTAGGACACCTTCCACCCATATGGCTGGAGAGACATGAGGCTTGTGCTTCCCAGGTGGACTGGCCCAGGTTTCTTCTGGGGTCCCAGGCCTGTCTCACTACAGACGGTGGGCAAGACACTCATGTGCTCTCTCCCTCTGGCTCGGAGGAGAGGGTGTGGTCCTTGGTCCTGTTGGGTTCCCACATTTTGAGACTCAGCTTTGCTTGGGGGTGAGTGGGGATTGCAAAAGCAGGCCTGTGCCATGTATGGATATTTTTTAGGTTTAATTTTTTAAAGACAAATCAACCTTCCTGTGGTCTAATTTAGCTCACACCGAGGTTTGGATCAGAGCCCCAACTAAATAAGAACATCCTGATTTGCCTTGCTTTGCCTTCTTTGTGTGCAGATTTTGCTCTGTGTTGTGTGGAGCAGGAGTGGTTGGGACAAGGATCAGGTGTTCTGGGCCTAATTCCTCCTAACAGCACCGGATGGGAACTCTGTGTAGAGCAATGCCTTACAGCCAGCTCTTCCTTCCTTCCTTCCTTCCTTCCTTCCTTCCTTCCTTCCTTCCTTCTTCCTTCCTTCTTCCTTCCTTCCTCCCTTCCTCCCTCCCTCCCTTCCTCCCTCCCTTCCTCCCTTCCTTCCTCCCTTCCTCTCTTCCCTTCCCTTCCCTTCTTCCTCCTCCTTCTCCTTCCTTCCTTCTGTCCATCTCCTTCCTTCCTTCCTTCCTTCCATCTCCTTCCCTCCCTCCTTCCCTTCTCTCCCTTCCTCTCTCTTTCCTTCTTTTGTTTTCCTTCCCTTTTTTCCATCTCTCCCTGTTTCTTCTCCTTTCCTCTCTTTTTATCCCTCCCTCCTTTTCTTCCTTCCTTCCTTTTCTTCCTTCTTTCTGTCCTTCCTTCTCTTCTTTCATTTTTTTATCTTGACTAACCCAGCACCTAACTTTTATAAACCAAGCCTACATCTGCTGGATTGATTTATGCTGTATTCTTAGGGGATGAGGTGGAGAGCCAATACTCTTGGGTAAACATGCAGTGGGACATTGGCTGCTCTTGCAGATGCCAAATCAGAGTGATTCTACCAGCACCAGGAACATGAGACCCTGTGGAAATGCTGGCCTCAGGTATCAGAGAGCCAGTTGCATCGAAGTGAAGGAGAGAAGCAAGTGGCTTCACATGTCTGTTCTCAGAATGTTTGGCTCAGTGGCCAGATAAGTGTGGGGACTGGAGCCATATATTGGCCAGTTAGCGTGGCTCAGAACAAAACTGACAACAGCCCATAAATGTCCCCCTAGACTCGGCCAACCTTTCAACTCTGGGGCTACAGTGTGTGAGATAGAGGCTGCATTAGTCTATTTTCACACTGCTATAAAGATACTACCTGAGGCTGGGTAATTTATACAACAAAGAAATTTAGTTGACTTACAGTTCTTCATGGCTAGGGAGGCCTCGGGAAACTTACAATCATGGCAGAAGGGAAAGCAGGCATGTCTTACATGGCAGAAGGGAAAGCAGGCAAAACAGAGAGAGTGAAAAGCCCAGGGTAGACTGCCATTGATTGATTGATTGATTGAGCCTCACTCTGTGGCCCAGGCTGGAGTGCAGTGGCTCAATCTTGGCTCACTGCAACCTCTGCCTCCCAGGTTCAAGCAATTCTCCTGCCTCAGCCTCCTGAGTAGCTGGGATTACAGGCACCTGCCACCACATGTGGCTAATTTTTGCATTTTTAGTATAGATGGGGTTTCACCATGTTGGCCAGGCTGGTCTTGAACTCCTGACCTCAGGTAATCTGCCTGCCTCGGCCTCCCAAAGTGCTGGGATTACAGGCATGAGCCACTTTGCTGGGATGGGAGACTTCCATTTATAAAACCATCCAATCTCATAAGAACTCACTCACTATCACGAGAACAGCATGGAGGAAACCGCCCCCATGATCCAATCACCTCCTACCGGGTCCCTCCCTTGACAGAAGAGGATTATGAGGATTACAGTTCTAGGTGAGATTTGGGTGGGGATACAAAGCCTAACCATCAGTGGCCCATTTCTGTGTTGATTGCTTGCCCTGTATCTATCAATCAATTGGTCAATCTGACATCTATATTTAATTTACCTTCTTTATAGCTGAGGCTGCCTGCTATGGGCTCAGCCCTACCCTGAGCTCTGGGTCTAACTCTGTCCTGTCCAGTGAAACTCCAGTAGCCTTTGGCCAATGGCTGCAAGCTCATGCTCAGGCTCTCCTTGTAGATGGTCTGCTCTCACAGTGGGCCTTGTTTAATAATGAGCCTCTTGCCTTGCTCTGAAGGCCCTGTCTTGGTTCCTGTTATCCCCTCCTATGCTTGCCTCCCTGCCTTGGTTTCCTCCCCAGGATATGAGTTCCTGGAGCCAGGGCCCTGATCCCGAGGCCAGTTCCTATGGCTGGGTCCCTGCTTCTCACCACCAGGCCTTGCTCATTCCCCCTGCTTGCCTTGTCTTTGCTTGTCACTCATGGCCAGGTGACTCTCAGAGCAGTGGGAAAGGCACCCCTGGTAATGTTGGGCACTGTCTGGTTTGGATTATGAGAATGGAACTGGAGGCCACAGCATCACACGCCCACTCCTCTCACTCTCTGCCCACAGCACTTCCTCACAGCCCTGGGGGGCCTTGTGGCGGTGCCACTCATCCTGGCCAAGGTCGTGTGCCTGCAGCACGATGTTCTGACACAGGGCTACCTCATCAGCACCATTTTCTTCATCTCCGGCATCTACATGCTCCTGCAAGTGTTTTTAGGGGTCAGGTAGGTAAAATGGTTTCCCATGGGTTCTGACTTTTACCTGCCAGGGTGCCAGCAAGGCTTTCTTGGCTCATGGCTGGAGAGATGGTTGGGAAGCTGGTGTGGCATAAGGGAGGGTGCACAGGGTTAGGAGACAGAGCCTGGGTTCAGGTTTCAGCTCCATCACTTACTCTCCACATTGGCTAGGATCCTTGATGGGAAGTAACACAAATCCAGATCAGCTTGGGCATAAATGTATGCTTTATTAACTGATAAGGTGGAAACAAGAGAAATGCAGGGGTGCATCCAAGCCTCAGGAACACGATGAACCAGGAACTAAAATGCTGCCGGGATCCTCTCTGTCTCTCGACTCTGCTCAGGCCTGCCCTTAATATTTACAAGACCCCTGGCACGAGTACAGATGGAGACCCACATACTCCATGTCTAAATACTGGAAAGTTATAAACCAAGCTGACAAACTCTGAAATAAAACATGTTCTCCTCATTCTACCTGGTAAGGCCAGGTTTGAACTTAGAATCTTCTGCCCAGTTGGATCTCTGCTTTGGAGCCTGGCAACATGGCAAGGACCAGTCCCCAGCCTGCAGCCTCCCAGTTCTCTCTCCACTTCAAGCTTTACTCCAAATCACAAATGGTCTCCTGTGTATGGATGTGAACACCCCAACCTGCACATCCAACTTCTTTTCTCGCCTCCATGACAACAGACTCCCCAAATAACTGCCCTCAAACAGCTGGCCCATGGCCATCTTTGGGGTGTGTGCACCTGTATCATTGCCTGCCCTCAGCAGCGTCTACGGAAGACTCACAAGCAGCCTTTGGAAGAGGCTCAGGGCCATTTGGGCACAGCATTTCGGGGACTCAAAGGGGAGAGGGACATAGACCTCAGGTTAGCACATCCCCTTGGCCCTGCAGACTCCTCCCTGAGAAGCTAGAGTGGACCCTTTAAGGCACTGGGCTAAGTGCAGGAGGCTCTCTTCTGGCTGGAGGGCAGGACCGTCTCTTCCTTACTCTGCCGGCGCCTGGTCTTCTTACTTGCAGACAGCCTTCCTGCACGTGTGCGTTAGTCAGGGTTCTCAGAGAAGCAGAGCCAATAGGATATATAGAGATATATGAAGAGGAGATTTATTACAGGAATTGGCTCACACAGTCATGGAGGCCAAAGTCCTGCTACTTGCAATCTGCTACTTGCGAGCTGGAGAACCAGGAAAGCTGGTGGTTCAGGCTGAGTCCAAAGGACTGAATGTTGAGGTCAGGGTAGGGTAGGCCAGTATTGTAAGTTTCAGTCTGAGTCTGAAGGCCTGAGAACCAGGAGTACCAGTGTCTGAGGGCAGGAGAAGATGGCTGTCCCAGCTCAGGAAGAGAGCAAGAGAATCCAGTCTTTCTCTGCGTTTTGTTCTATTTGGGTCCTCAGTGGATTGGATGATTCCCACCGCATTGGTGATCTTCTTTACTCACTTCACCAATTCAAATGATAATCTCTTCCAGAGACACCCTCACAGACACACCCTGCAATATGTTACCAGCCATCTGGGCAGCCCTTAGCCTGGTGAAGTTGACCCATAAATTCAACCATCACAACGTGACTGCAGGCAGCACTCCTAGACATCCTCCTACTTACCACCCAAAAGCAAGTGAGGGCTGCTCTGGCTAGTCTCACATTGTAAAATTCCAGGAGAGCTCTGTTGCCCAGCCCTGGAGCTGCCTGGGCAACAAATATGGCAACTCCCATTCGGGAAGATTTCCCAATAAAGCAGAGTAGAGGAATTCTGCTCTGGGTAGACAAGACAGCAGACATTCACTGTGGTTTGGGACCTGTGCAATGCAGCTAATGAGTATATGTGCCTCTGTTCCCTTACAGAATCACTGAGATGCTCAATTGGTATAATCAGTGGAATCCCTTTTTTAAAATAAAAAAATCAAGTCCTCGTGTTCATATGTGGGCTGCTAAAATTAGCCCGAGTAAAATGGAGCTCTATTACTCCGGCCTGGACAAAATGGTGAAGCCAGGAAATGTGTCTTTGGAGACCATTCCTTCCTCATTTCCACACATCCTCTTTTTTTACACTCTCCATTACCATTCCCTATCCCATTGTGATTCCCTAGAACCTCACACAATGGCTTTTTTGGGTTACCACCTTCTTGGGAAATTTCTTTGTAGGTCCTCTAGATCTTTCTCATTCTCCTCCCTCCCTGCAAACCTGTTAGTCCGGTGTTCCTTCCCTTATGTCTGTTTAGCATCCAGTCCAAAGAGAGTTTTGCACAACCTGAAGCTTAGACAGTTTTTGGTGTCCCCTTTAAGAAAAAGAACAGAAAATTACAAATATAAAATCGTGCACAAAAGAAAATATTTATTTAGATTTAAGAAAGTAATTACAATAAATTACAGGTGTTAAAAAAACAGATAAATACTACAAATGTCACACATTTCAGAAAATAGCATGACATACTTATTATTTAACCATCTGACAGTCACCTATGATACTTTCTCCCTCTACATTTTATGGTTTCATCTCTTCAATGACCTCATTTTGCAGAAAAAAAGGAAAGATAACTCAGTCATTCCTCTAGGATGGGTTAGTCCAAGTTTATTTGTTATTACTGCTAGCTGGGATGCCTCGTTACGACTTTCCATGCAGACTGTGGTACTGCTATAGATTTGTGCCTTACAAACACAGGAGTTCTGATAAACTTTATTGGACCTGATTCCTATCAAAAAATGTTTAAATGCATAGTGAATTCATAAGTTTATATGCTGCATTCCTAAGTATATTCCTGATAGGAGAAAATGTCCACTTTTGCCTAGACATCAATAACAACCAATTCTCTGGCAATGTTGCGTGTCAGATGATTGTCAAGTTTTCCACAGATAGCTTCTGGCTCCATACATTTCAAACCTTGTTGGTCATCCACTATCCACATACATCAAGTGCCAGGTGCTAGAGGACATATTCACATCCTAAAGTGGCCTCTGGTCCTGCACCATCATGTCATGACATCGGGTGAACTGGCCCAGCGGGTGTAATTCCACTTTACACAGTGATGGGAGGGGCCCATCACTGTAATTCCACTTTCTATCTGATCTGCACCAAGCCTGTGCTCCGCTCTGGGGTTGCAAAGGAAAATGGAAAACATTCCCCACAATATGCTTCTGCCTATCTTAAGAGAAAATGACTCGGCAGGAACAATGAATACGCAATTAGTCTTAATTATCTGAATCAAAGCTACACAAGTGTAGACTGAGGTTGGCTAGTTATTTCCAGAGTAGATGGAATCTAGGCAGCATCTGGAGGAAAATGTTCATTCCTAGGATGGTCTTTGTGTCTAAATCAAATCAAAAGTACTTCCCAAAGTACTTCCTTTGCAAGTCATTTCCAGGAGACCTAACAGTGCTTAAGCTCTCCCTTTGTTCTGCAGAGGATGGGAGGCCAGTGCCTCCCTCTTGCACAGGTGACTTCCCTTCCCCCTCTTCCTCCTTTGTCACTATCTCTGTGAGCCAAGATGCCTTCCAAGGGTTCACTCTGGTCTATCAGGCCCCTAAAATCCGGACCCCTCCCTTCCAGGATCAGCCCCACAATGTAAGATGTTGCAGTAGCAGTGGAGAGGCCTTGTAACTCCCTGTGGAGATACCCAGGAGCCCCCACGCCAGCCCCCGCCCCATGAAGAATTACAAACACAAAGCTATTGTGAATGGGGGAGCCCCTCACCCAAACCTGAGGTGATGTTAATTTTGATTATGGAAAAGCTTCACGTTTGGAAACTAGAGGGCTGAATTCTAGCTCTGTGCTGTGGGAACTTGGATGAGTCATAAACCCTCTTTAAGGCTCCAGTTCCTCATCTGCAAATTAAACAAGATGAACTAGGTAGTATCAAAAAGTCCCTTCCATCTCTAATATTGTGGACACCTCTGATGTTGACAGAGAAATTGACCAAGTGTCCTATTTCTTTCCTTCTTTTTCATTTTTTTTGAGACAGAGTCTTGCTCTGTCACCCAGGCTGTAGTGCAGTGGCACCATCTCGGCTCACTGCAACCTCTGACCCCTGGGTTTAAGCAATTCTCCTGCCTCAGCCTCCCTAGTAGCTGGGATTACAGGTGTGTGCCACCACACCCAGCTAATTTTTGTATTTTTAGTAGAGACGGGGTTTTGTCATTTTTGGCCAGGCTGGTCTCAAACTCCTGACCTTAGAGAATCCGCCCACCTTGGCTTCCCAAAGTGCTGGGATTACAGGCGTGAGCCACCCCGCCTTGCCAAGTGTCCTATTTCAACTGAATCATCAGGACTGAAAAGGCCTATGGGGCTAGCCTTCTGGTAAGTTCTGTGAAAAGCACAAACTAATTAGAAATTAGGGTTCAAGGAATTTATACCCTAATTAAACATGCAAAGAAAAGAGGGAAATACAATTCAGAAATAAAATCATGCTCCTGTCTTTAGACTAAGCTGAGGGCAGAAACAAACTTGAGTTTTGTTTCACCCCTGCAAATGGGCTTCCCTCTCAGATCCTAATGAGTAACTTACCTGAAACAGATAGGTTGTAAAACCTAACTAATAGCTTATGAACTAAAGGCCAAGTAGATTTGATTGTTGGTTAAGCAATATTTAATGATGGGTTTTTCTAGATTAGAAACAAGAATGCCGATGTCGCAATAAGACTTCAGAAGATCTTAGCACTTCCTAAGTTAAATACTCAGAAGGGAAAAGGTAATAGCCACTGCTTTGGGCATAAGAGCTAACAGTTGTTTCACCCAGCGTTGGCAGGAGCTGTAATTCTCAACAGTGTGGATGGCTGCCTCCTTCTTATGACTTTAGAGGTCTTGGGTGTATCCCCTAAAGGTCTTCCTTACTTAGTGCTCACTTCTGAAATTCACGTAAAGGAATGCATCACCATTCATTTCAAAAGAAGACATCAAGTTTAAAAGGCAATCGCTAGAGGAAGAAAATATTGACTATGTGAAACTCCAGATTTTAACTAATCTCTGGAATTATTCATGATTTTTGCATAATTCTGG